ACATGGACACTATATATAGATATAAGATAATGGAGCGATTAAAGGATTTGTTTAGCAGATGTCTCTGGGGAGCGACTATGCCAAAACATAAAGCAAAACTCAGGGGACCGACAGCCATACATGTCTAACACTGAGGTTATTTGCTTGGCAAACAGGTTCCAAATTAGCCAACACTTTCAGGATTTCCAGCAGCTGTTTATTGCGGAGGCGGCCCATCCACCCCCACTGACTTGGCAAGACCTTTTACTAACATCATTCGAATTTTTCTACCCCTTAGAAAATAAAATAATACATTTGAGATCTTTAGGAAAAAACAAATAAAAGGGCTATTGCTACATGATGATGAACTTCCACTAACCAATTTCCTGCAGGAAACCCTTATATTTTCCTTTTAGAAGACTGATTTGAAAAACTGCATTTCCATAATATTTATTAAACATGCAACAACACACACTGAATCGGAAATTTTGGTAGTCTGTCTCAGCATGCATGGTGACTTTATTGTCTGTCTGCTCGTGCTGAAATAATGATGAGCCTATTTGGTATGCTTCATTAATTGAGAAACAGACATCATACTAAGGCTTTTATGAAATTCCTTCTCTTAACACTGCTGCATTTGGCCTGTGTGACACTCTGCAAAGCCTCACTGCATGAGCTGAAGCTCATGCAGTGCGTCAGCAAAGAGCCGGAGGTACCTGTTTGACATGTGGATGGGCAGGGGCTCCAGTCGCTGTACGGGGTGACGATACAGTCTCTCTTGCATGGCAGTAAGCAGGGCCTGACGGTATCTGGGCGCAGGCTCTCCGGACACCTGCAAGTACATCGTTGATATGCTCAGACACAAACACACAGAGTACCCTTGAAATCCTGATAGAGCTCAATAAATATAAAGTGAAAACACAGACTATGACGTTGAAGTTGAGACCGTCCTCAGTAGTAGTAGCAGCAGTATCAGTCGTTTGTTATAACGATACCTAATACCTAAGTTGACATTTATAGTGTATTTTAGTTTAACTGACAAGCTGCTAGTGGCAGTGAAAATGATGACTTGTCTGTCCAAAACAAAGGTGGAAAAAAGAAAGCCTTGTATCTCCAATTAGGAGGTTTTTTGTTTTCTGTGAGCAGTTAAAGAAGGACTGGGAAGACGGAAGGAAGGAAAGGATGGAAGAAGAGGAAAGGAGAAAAAAATGAAATGAGCAGGAAGAACAATAGGAAGGAGGACGAATGGGGGAAAGACAGAGAGAAGGAAAAAAGAAAGAAGCAAATAATGTTGGGAGGAAGGTAAAGAAGGAAAACATTGTAGGACCAAATATTAGAAAATGTTTGTTTCCTGTTTCCCATCCACAATCTGACTCTGACCCTCCCTTACATACAAGAGTTGAGCTTCCTTCAACAAACTAAGTATAAACTTTCTCTATATCCTGACAGTAGTACATGAAACAGATAATCTGTGAAACAATCAGGTTCCTCTGGTTCCTCCAGTTATTTTTCCTATGGAACTTTCTACCTACTGCAGCTTTAAATGTTCAGTATGTCATTTCTGTCACTAGGGGGTCTCACATCAAAACAATAACAAAAGACAAAGTTTGATGAGGTGGTAAAATAGTGTGGGATCATGGGAGTTGTTGTCTTCACCACCATTGCCATCACTGCAGTCAGCTTCTCCCAGTAGTTTAGGATTCCTTCAGTGTTCATGGTTCAGGGGAGGTTCTACCGGGAGCCCAATTATCCACAGAGGTCTCCTCCTCCCAAAAACAAACAGGACCCACTGATTAAAAACCGGCAAAAAAAACACAAAATAAAGCAGTTCCACATTAAAAATCACTGCTTCTCCACACTGTGTTGGAAGCAACAGGACTCCTGGACGGGGGGCTGCGAGCGAGCTGCTGGCTTTAACGTTAGCTCAGCTTGTTCTCTATAACTTAAGATCCAGACGTCCGATAACTAAATCCTTCATCCGGTTTCAAAATCTATGTT